GCGATCATCAACCAGAACGCAAACTGCGCGCCAAGCAACAGCTTCCCCTCTTCAGCAAAGCAAGACTGGGGAAAGCGTGTCAATTGACAACTGGTTTGGTCGACTCGAAGCCAAAATTGATGCTCAAAAAGATAGCATTATCGAACAGCTGTCCGCATGTATGAGGGAGTCAGAGGAACGTGTTATGCAGAGGCTGGGTGAGTTAACGGCAGATCAGGTAAATTTAAAGCAGAAGGTGAAACATATTGAAGAGCGTGTCACGAAAGCCGAGGGTGAATGCGCACCTATACAACAGCTGTGCTCTGATGTGCAGTTCTTGAAAACGCAACAATTAGTAGCAAAGAATGTGGTGGAACGCGTTAACAAAGTCGAGCGAGAATGTGGTCAAGTCAAGGAATTGCGTACCGAGGTGCAAATGCTTAGAGCACAACTTGACGACTGTCAGAATGCGCTTTCTTCACCTGACATCATCTTACGAGGTATTCCGCAAACGGATAACGAAAACCTACGTGAGACTTTCTCCCAGCTGTGTTGTGCGATTCAGCTAGATGTTCCGCCAGTGGGCGCTGTTTTTCGTCTGCCCAGCAAAAACAAAAATACTGCTGCCCCCGTAGTAGTGAAGTTACGCTCTTCTGCCGATCGTTCCGTGCTGTTTCGCGCAGCTGCGCGCTTCCGAAAATCTGCACAGAGGTCAATACTGCTGCGCGACATCGGACACGACTCTGACGGGCGAGTAGACATTCATGAGAGTCTCACTAAGCACAGACGTGACATCATGAAGTCTGCTATGCAATTGAAGAGGCAAAAACAAATAATGTCTGTATTCTCAATTCGCGGCAATGTCTATGTACGAGTTCGTCCCAACAGCAATGCAGTGCAAGTATCCAGCAATGAAGATCTTCGTCGGATTGCAGCGACTGTTACGTGAGCGTTAATTTGTGTCACGCAATATATATGTATACGTTTCTTATGTTTTTAATATTAGTAATTGAGTATATTAAGTATGTTTATATTTTTCTCTATCTCTCCAATTCTTCTCTTTCTGCTGACTCTCCTTACATAAGTGACATAAAATCTGCCTTCAACCTTACTCTTCTTCGTCTACCCATGCAGTTTCTCTTGAGAGGCAGAGTCCGCTCTCTCAGTACTAATGTCTCTGAAATTTGATGATTGCTGTCGTTCCATAGACAATACATTTAATATGATTCGCATTTTGGGCAAACAAAGGAACGGACTAAAAGTCTTTCATTTGAATGCTCAAAGCATATCAAACAAAATTGACGAATTCAGATACATATTTGAATCTTCTAATGTCGACGTGGTGTGTATATCTGAAACTTGGCTCTCCTCGTATTTGAGTAATGATTTGTTTGGTGTGAATGGCTACAAGCTATTTCGTTTAGATAGAGTTGGACATGGTGGTGGGGTGGCTATGTATGTTAAAAATGGACTTTCGTGCAATGTTAAATGCGCATCCCCTAAAAATAACAGAATTGAATATCTTTTTGTCGAAATCTTATCCAAAACTGATAAAATTCTTCTAGGCTGCATCTACAGACCTAATAAGAACATAGCCTATAGTGAATTTATCGACTTCTTAGAAGATATCACCCTAGGTTACAACAACATCATTATCACTGGGGATTTTAAATGTGATTTACTCAGCGACACAAATTTTTCTCTGTCCATGCTGAATATTGGTCTGTTCCCCATTAATTGCTTAACACCTACACACTTTACTCAAACAAGCAGCACCCTATTGGACATTTTCTTCGTTAGCGTGAAGGCAAAAGTACTTCTCTATGACCAACTTTCTGTACCGAATTTCTCTAAGCACGATCTAATTTTTCTTTCCTACGACTTTCATTTTGTACATGACAAGTATTCATACTCATATCGTGACTTCACTCGAATTAATTATGAGCAACTTTCGGTAGCTGTCGATACAGTCAATTGGGGTCACGTTCGTGACATGGCATCATCGGAAAGTCAAATTGATTTCCTTCAGACACATATAAAGTCCCTCTTTGACCGGTTTGTACCACTTGTAACGAAGCGAAACGTTACTCAAACTCGCCCCTGGTTCAACGCTTACATTCAAAACTTAATTGAAAGTCGTAACGTAGCGTACCGAAAATGGAAGCAACAAAAAACGGAAATGCTCTACAACGAGTACAAAATTAGAAGGAAAACTGTTACGAAAGCCATCAAGAAACAAAAATTGAAGTATTATGAGTTCAAGTTCAGTACTGCCGTCGGCTCCAAGCAGACTTGGAAGCAGGTGCGTGAAATTGGAATTGGCAAACAAAATAACCCCATTACCGAACCTGTGAATGTCAACGATATAAATGAAAAGTTTGTTAATTTGTCTGCTCCGTGTAATAATATTTGTTACGAGCTTTATAACACTCGTACACTGAATATTTTGCCCAGTTTTTATTTTGAATGTGTAGACGAATGTGATGTTGTCCAGTCAATACTTGATGTTAAATCTAATGCCGTTGGGTTCGACGGCATTCACCCAAAATTTCTTAAATGTCTCCTCCCCAAAATTCTTCCTTACCTTACGCATGCTATGAATGCCGTCTTGACCACGGGTGTTTATCCAGCGTGCTGGAAGAGAGCCAAGATCATTCCCATTTCCAAACCCAATGGCGATTTTCGACCAATTGCTATATTGCCCTTCTTATCCAAGGTACTGGAGCGCTTAGTGCATCGACAAATTAACTATTTTTTGAGTCGTAATTCTCTTTTGAGCGTACATCAATCAGGCTTCAGGACTAATAGAAGCTGCGTCACCGCACTATTAAAGGTCTCAGATGATATAAGGCAAAACATGGACATAAATCATGTTACCTTCTTAACTCTACTCGATTATTCTAAGGCTTTTGATACTGTTGACCCCAAACTTTTATGTTTAAAACTAAAAAACTTGTTTAATTTCTCGTCACCAGCGTTGGACCTAATTAGTTCGTACCTAAGAAATCGATCACAAGCTGTATGTGTTGGAAGTGATAAATCTGAATTTTTGTCCACGTCTAGGGGTGTTCCACAGGGATCAATACTAGGTCCGCTGTTATTTGTGCTGTATATTAACGACTTACCCAAAATTTTGAAATACTGTGATATTCATATTTATGCCGACGATGTCCAATTGTATGTTAGCTGTCCCTTTGCGTCAATCAATGTCTGTATTCGTAACTTAAATTTTGACCTCGAACGTATTAACGACTGGGCTAGAAATAACGGATTAGTAATTAACCCAAACAAATCTCAATGTATTCCAATTTATAACGACACTTCGCACTTGATGAACATCACAAAATAATTTTCAACAATTCAGTGATAGATTTTGTTGACACTGCGAGAAACCTAGGAGTAATATTTAACAGGACGCTGACATGGAACAATCATATTGCCAGCATAACGGGAAAAACATATGGAATGCTTAGGTCCTTATGGATCACTCAGTATTTCACACCAGTAAAAATTCGACTGCTGCTAGCGAAAACCTTTTTACTACCGACAATTTTGTATGGATGCGAGCTGTACGCTAACTGTGATAGTGTGTGCATGAAAAAACTCAACACTCTTTATAACAATATCGCCAGATATGTTTACGGAATTGGACGCCGCGAACATATCTCTAAATATAGCACTAAGACCATGGGTATATCTTTTGATAAACTATTGGAGCTAAAATGTCTTATGCTACTTCACAAAATCTTAATCACCCAGGAGCATAGGTATCTCCATGAACGATTACAGTTTCCCCGATCGCAACGAGCACTCCAAATTATTTATATTAAATACAATTGCCTCAAATCTGAACGTCAGTTTTTTGTTTTTGTTATCCGTCTTTGGAACGCTTTACCTCTAGCAATCAGAACCATCAGGAGCGCTCTGCCCTTTAAGAGAGAATTGCATCGGCTCTTTGCTCAGGCGTAAGCCAACTGATCGCAGTTTTTTTTGTCATTTTTTTTGTCATTTTCCTACCTTATTCCTGTCTTTTGTCTTATTCTATTCTCAAATACCTAGCCTCTTTCTACAATTTTCCTATCCACTATTTATATCATATCTTATAATTAATGCGACTCTTCGTTTTCGTTTTCAAATAGCAAGTAAGTTACTAGTTAAATTATTAAATGCATTTGTGCTTAGCCATGTAATCCTAACATCTAACACTTGAAAGTAACACCACCGGGTTGTTGTGTTAGATTTGTACCGTAATTGAAAAAAATAAATAAATAAAGACCGAGAAGTACCACTGGAAAGAATTAAAGAAATTAAAATTTTGCGGAACCTTTGTGAGAATAATAGAAAGTGAAGAAATCCTTTTCGAGAAAACATTATAAAACCAATAGAGCAGCGAACTCGAAATTATTATCGGGCGCGTCAGCGTATTTTTCAAGAGCATTCACTAGGCAGTCCGAATTGGGTCACGCGGAAGGTACAAAAGGCGCGCCAACGATACACACAACGTAAGGAAACACGGCATGAAGTGGCAGCGACGACCATCTCAAACATCTTAGATGATCCGAGAGCTTTTGTGGGCATTCTAATTGGGAAAAAGTCCGTCCGAGGCCTGCTGGACTCGGGTGCATCGATAAGTATACTTGGGAAATATTGTAGAGAACCGGTAGAAGAGTTAGGCATCCCAGTGAAACCATTCCGATCGTGCATGAAAACAGCGTCCGGGCAGAAACACATCGTATTGGGAAAAATTACCATTCCTGTAAAGTACAACGAAATGGAGCAATTAATCACGTTTTATTTATGTCCTTATCTATGTCCGCAGGCTTACTTGGGAGTAGATTTTCGGAGAAAATTCAAATTAGCACCAAATGTCCTTGGAGTCGAAGAACTGGATCTAGAGAAGATACGCGAACACTTTACAGATAATAAGATGGAGACTAGCGAGCAGCAAGCACACGAGCTTACTCAAAAGCAAGAAGAGCGGCTGGAGCAAGTTAAAAGGCAGTTCCGATCGTACGAAGAACATGGCCTTGATAAAACATGCGATCCAATTGGTTAAAGATGCAACGCCTTTCAAAGACCGTCACTACCCCGTTTCGTCCGCTGTGGAACAACTGGTGTACAAGGAAGTGCACGAGATGCTGCGACTGGGTGTTATAGAGGAGAGCGAAAGCCCATGGATCAACCGAACAGCACTGGTCCGATTAGATGCTAGAAAATTGAATGCGTTGACAATTAAAGATGCTTACCTATTGCAAAATAACGAAGGCATACTCAGCAGGATCGACCAGACTAATTTTATTAGCAGCATCGACTTGAAGCACGCGTTCTGGCAGATCGAGCTCGAGAATAACAATAGGCAGCATACGGCGATCACTGTACCAGGCCGCCCGTTGTACCAGTTCCGCGTTATTCCGTTCGGGTTGTGCAACGCGGTGCAACGTCTCTGTCGACTCATGGATCTGGTCGTGCCACAAAATTTAAAGGGCAATGTTTTCGTGTATCTGAACGATTTGCTGGTTATATCCCAGGATTTTGATTCTCAAATACAGCTGTTAAAAGTGATCGCCGCCTGCTTTGCGAAAGCCAACTTAACTATTGGGCTCACAAAAACCAAATTTTGTTTCAAATATTTGCGATAATGTTGAAAACAGACCCTCACAAAGTTGAGGCTATCGCGAATATCAGCGTTCCGAAATCGGCGCGAGAGGTGAGAAAGCTCTTAGGCACAGCTGGCTGGTACCGACGCTTCATCATCAACTTCGCATCGCTATCAGCACCATTGACAGACACGCTAAAGAAAGGAACAACTTTTTCAATGAGTCCAGCGGCGTTAGAGGCATTTAAAGAATTGAAGGAAGCTCTTACCACAGCTCCGTTACTCCGACATCCAGAGTTTAAGAAAAGATTTTTCATACAGTGTGATGCATCTGATGTAGGCGTAGGGGCAGTACTATTCCAGAAAGAAGGTTTTCGCAAAAGTTAAATTGTTGTCAGCGAAATTATAGCGTTACGGAAAAGGAATGTCTGGCAGCGGTTCTAGCGATCAAACGATTCTGGCCGTACGTCGAAATGATACCTTTTACGGTAGTGACGGATCACGCCAGCCTTAAGTGGCTAATGTCATTGCGTGACTTAAGTGGGCGTCTCGCTAGGTGGTTACTTCCACTACAGGCTTATGATTTTGAGATTACTCACCGCAAGGGTACGGATAATGTTGTAGCTGATACGTTATCGTGATTAGTTGATGAATTGAGTCTAGATAATTATCCCATCTCAACATTAGAAACGACGGCGTTTAGCTCACCCGAATATGTGGAGATAGTCAACGAGATCGAGAGCAATCAAGATAAATTGCCGGATCTGAAAACGGAAAGCGGCTATGCGTTTAAGCGCACTAGGTTCGCGGCACAAAACGGCGAAGAATTTGAATGAAAGTTGTGGATCCCCGATGGGTTGACGACGACAATAATAACTGAAGCGCATGAACCCGAAAACAAGGCTCATGGGGGCGTTGGCAAAACACTACACTGACTACGCAGATTTTATTATTGGCCGAAAATGGCGTCGCAGGTTGCTGTCTTCGTGCGTAAGTGTGTCGTTTGTAAGCAAACAAAGACTTCAAATCGACCACTAAATCCAGGTATAGGGCAAGAGGTACTTACCGAGAGGCCATTCCAGAAGATTTCCATTGATTTCTTAGGCAAATATCCACGATCCAAGAAAGGGAACGCTTATATCTTTATAGTGGTCGATCATTTTTCCAAATTGGTTTTTCTAAAAGCTATGCGAGAGGCCCCTACAAGCAATGTTGTTACGTTTCCACAGACTGGTTTTCACTATGTCATATTTTGACGCCAAAATTTGGCGATATATTTTGACGCAATTTTATTATGGGCCGAAAAAGACAGATAGCCGATTTAGCAGCGCATGTACGCGATTAAAGACCTATCCTGATCCAATCCTGATCGATAAGCCGCTTCTTAATACCATCTGACAATGTGTTTTCACTTATTTGCCAACAAATGCCACTGAATTTGACATAGTGAAAATCAGCCTCAACACAAGAAATCTTTGCAAAGTTCGGTGTACCCGAAACGCTGCACTCCGACAACGGAAAGCAATTCGTTAGCAAAGAATTTGGAAAAGTGACCGACTAATATAGGATAAAGCTTTTGAAAACCGCCTCTTATGCTCCGCAGTCCAATGCTGCTGAGAGGGTCAATCAGTTAGTATTGGCTGCCATTAGAGCCTATTTAGAGCAGGACCATCGCGATTGGGATCTCTACTTGCCCGAAATTGAGTGCGCCTTGCGAACGTCGGTCCACTCCGCTACTGGCGTCACCCGATACTTCGCGCTATTCGGTCAGGAAATATTCACGGCCGGTAGCGATTATAAACTAGCACGAAAATTAATATCTTTAAGCGAGGGCGAATTAGCGATCGTTAACCGCGAAGATTATATGCAAATTATACGTGAACCGATTAAAGTCAATTTACACAATGCCTATGAGCAAAGCGCGCAGCGTTATGATAGGCGGAAACGAATGGTCAACTTTCGTCTAGCCGGTCTAGCTCGCAATAAGATAGATGCAATTATCTCAGGGCGTGGGTGTAGTCTACGCTGGGCGCCTTGCAAAACAAAGTTGGCGCTCCACATATTTCCACCCTCGCAGCTGCCCACGCGGGAGCTAACAGTGGCTGAGAGGGTGTGCTATTATGGGAGCGCTGGACACCCGTGATTGCTGGTTTGCGATCCATTGTCTGGTGCAGCGCGTTCAGTAGTAAAAACCTGGAATCAGAAGAAAACATCTTCTGCACCATGTATTTTCACAATGTTTTTTTCAAGGATACTTGCCCAACAAGTCTGAACGCCACTGTAGAGATCTCCGGCCACCGGGCTGTACAGATGGTATGATTATAGGTTTCTAGTCCTTAGCAATCCCTGTAGTGTATATAAATTAATGAAATGTTTAGTCCGAAAAAGAAAATAAATGCGTTTTGTTTAACTTACCAAAAAAAAGAGAAAAACTGGAGGCCAAAATTAATATTTACTGGGGCGAATGCCAAATAAAAAGGAATGTAAGACCAAAAGCTTTTTCGCCCATATGAGCATTGCCAGCAAAGAGTTTTGACAACTGGTATAATGCACCGGAAGAAAGAAACGGGATGGGTGTATTTTTTTTTGTAGAATCACTAATACAGCAAAGTGTTTGAAATATTGTTGGGTAGTTCCAGTGTACGGTAAATGGGGGAAACCGAGAATATAAAAGGAGCTGTTTGCTACGGGATTGCCCAAAAAACGCTATTCAACGACAGAACGTGCCAGAGCCGCATTCCTCCGAGTTTTTTTTTTTTTTGCTTTGTCACGACAGATTAAATCCGCGTGTGAGGTGGACAATTCGCTAAGTGCCGGAAAGTTTTTTTGTGAAAGTCCGCGCGAAAGTTCACACATTCGGTGGGGTAACAATAAAGAGCACCGGGAAGGGCCGCAGGAGGTTATCTTGACCCGAAAAAATCGTCAGACTGCGAAAAGTGCGCGGAGTCCACGAGAAGGCGACGTGGGAACAGGAGTATGTAAAATACAAAGGAGCTGTTGATGTAATGACGAGTCCCGGAGGTACGTGTCGGGATGTTAGGAGTGCGGCGAAAATATTTAGTCTCCCCACAAGAAGAACTAGAGGACGCGGCACAACTTTTGTGTAAGTGCTATTTTTTAAGTGTATTTCTACTTTTTTTTTCGTCAAACATTTTTTGGGCCCAAGTCAGTGCTTTCGACACCGGCACAAGAACGTGCAGAATTTTATTGTATCACACGACACTGTCGGTATCGCAACTTGCAGAACGGCTGCAACATTTTTCTGTTGCAAACATTTGCTGTTAGCCCGCCACTGTTAAAGTGTGCAAAAGCTTTCAGACATTGAAGGACGGATATAAAGCCTCTCACGACGGTAGTGCTGACAAATTTCTGCCCGTGGATGTGCGTTTGCTGTGTAGCTGATTTAATTAAGTATATTTTTTTTTTAGTTAGAAAGTTATATACGTATATGCCCATATATCTATTGTGGTATTTCTTTTTGTTCGGACATTGATTTGTTTTTTTTTTATTGTTTTGTTGGTGTACTGAATCCAAAACCTACCCCCCATATTGAAAAAGAATTCTATCATTTTTGAGATTAAAAATCCCCCTTAGAACCACCCCTTAAAGAGCTCTTTCTGGCAGGTTTTAGGAAGGATATAAATGTTAATACTCTTGTGAGTCCAAGTGTTTCTTCGAAGTGTATGCAATTTGTTTTAATATGGAGACGGTTTGAGGTCCAAAAGAGAATTTTTATCTACAGTTTGAGAATAAATTTTGTACCATTAATTTAAAAGTTAATCTTTTTTTTTGAATTTAAACCTTACAAATTTAGTATAACTTCTACGATGGCAAACCAAATAAATTGTATTTGCATTTGAAAAGAAAGACGTAAATATGTTTGGTTTTTAAGGAATTATAAAAAGAGGGATGAGTTAAGAAGGATGAAGTAAGAGCAAGTTGGCACGGTGGACGTGATAGGAATATAAAGGGGGTTGTCAAGAATAGAAAAATGCAACGGCGAGAATAGGCAACCAAGGTCGGGAGGGCGATCAACGATGTGATGTGGAGCGTTGCAGAACACCTTCCTTTTGTTATGCCACCCCACGGCCTGATGCAGCGGGTTGGGGACCCACGATCCGCGCTTGAGCTAGCCGAGGAGCTGCGTCTGGCAAGATGACTTTGGGGCTGGCACCAGTGAAAAGCATGGGATAACAACCAAGTGCAAAACTCACAACCAAAAACTCACCGACTAAAATTCTGTGAGTTTTTCGGAAGAGAATTGTACACAATTTTGACAGTTAAAACTCATTCTCACACATGCTGAATCGCAAAATGAGAAAGTGTACACAATTTTGACAGCTAAAACTCGTCCTCACTCTTCCTGAATCACAAAATGAAGAGTGCACACAACTATCAGTGTACACTTGAAAACTCACGGTTACAGAATAGAGCCCCTCTACTTTGCCATTCATATTGTGGCGATTACTACTTAGTAAGCAAAGTTAAGTGTGATAGTAAAAAGGTGTAAACATGGTCGTAGACAGGGAGCTACATGGCGCTCAGGTATAAAAATCAGAAAAATATTAAATTAATTATAAGGCTTAAACTTAATAAATGGCCGCACATTCTAGAAGATTCTGGAATTCTCTTGTAGAATTTATTATCTGGTAATTTGTAACAATAAACTGAAAAAAAAAAAAAAATTGTACTCCTTTTTTATGTTTTGTATTGCTCTTTTTCTATCGAAAATAGAAATGTACTCCTTTCTCTGTTTCAGAATCTGGTAACCCTAGATATAAGTACGTCTAAATCAGGGAAACACCACTGCTCTGATGTACACATATGCACAGCGACATTTATTTATGTGTATAAGTACCCACTGATATGAATACGACGCCCTCATCATACTCATACCCTTCCCAACAAGTTTGATTCTCAGCTCAACGGAGTTTGATCTACAATATTCATTGCGCGAATGGAATCATGTGAATCATTCCACTCAACCCGAAGTTTTTAAATTCTATTTTCGCCAACTAGTTAGGGCATTGCTATACAAATAGT